TATAATCGTTTCACCCACACCTAATTCTTCAGCGGTCCTTTTGAAGTGTCTTGCTTTCATCTAGTTCTTCCAAAGCATTCAACCTCATTTTTTCCTTTTCTTTCATATTTACATTTCCGTGGTTATGTAATATTTAGTTAAATCATGTAATACGAATAACACATACAACAGGCGTGAACAGGTAGGGCAGTGAGTATCAGTGACTGATGTGAAGCAGACGACTGAACTGCATGGGGACAGACGCGCGAGAGTGAACAGGTTACAGCCTCCAGCGTGTGGCAGTGTGTTTTACAGGAGAGCAGCGGAGTATCAGTTAGTCCTGGGAGTTGTCTCCGTGGAAGTGACTAAGAGTTTCTGCCATGTTACAAAAAGCAGTAGTTCAAGTCCAGTAGTTTATGCTACGGGTTTGGGATGGACCCAAAGTGTGACATGGCTGGTAGGCAGTGTGTACAATGTAAACACTTTTAAGCAGCATTAATAAAAGAATGACAGGAAACAGTGACCTCACAGTGTTTGAGCCACTCAGATCTCAGTGAGAGCAACATGTTTTAGGCGAGAACTGTGATAAAGGAAATAAACCAGAGGCCTCCTGGAACAATAGTTCTTAACCTTTTCCTTCAGAACAGTGCATGCAGACATATACACATTTTGCATGCATTTAATTGATGGCATTGTAAGTTGATTGTTTTTATAGACAGACCATAAAAATAAGTATTTTTAATAAACCGATCTTATCATTTAAATGCCGATGTTAAAGGCTACTTCCTAAAAATGTTTAATGAATTCATATTTGACAAATAAAATGAAAATATTAGTTTATGCTCAAAATAAATTTCAGTGAGAGGCCTGCTTTTGTTTAGCTTGAAAAAGGGGTTGAAATGGCGCAGCGGCTTTTGATGTGACAGGCAGCATGAACGCCGCCTTGTTTTTGAACTGTAAGTCACTTTTAACTTGTCTTTATTATGACAACAAGTATTAAAAACCTGGTTCGTGGTGATAATTGTGGCAAATGGAAGAGGAATCTCACATTTGGAAAAGCAAACTGAGACCTACTCAGAGGAACTGGACATTTTCCTCTGATACTGTTCAGTTGTTTCTACATCATTGCCTTATCATCCAGCCATTGAGATTGTTGTCAGCAAGGTTTGTCAGCACTGTGCTGTGTCAGCTAGAGCAGAATTATAAATCCACATTTCGGCTGGAACGGAAGTAACTTTCATAAAATATCTGTAGTTTTCTTCCAACCCATGGAAGTCTTTCTGCTGCTATGGAAAGTTTACGAAGTTCTCTCTTCTGAAAGGGCTGCTTGGCTGTGAGAGCACACAGGTTTTCAGCAGAAATGGTGTCGGTAGGGCCTAGAGTTGAAAGATTTACCTCATTTATAAGCTCACAGATGTCTGTTAAGCTAAGTCAGGAATTAATCTTTCTTCTCCTTTCTTCTTAGAATTTACTTTCCCTCAATCGCAAAATAAGTAGAACTTCACCTCAGGTTCAATCAAGGGCTGCAGCGCTGGGCCTTTGGGAGACCAGTGAACTCCATGCCCTCTCCTCTTATTTTTTCTCAGGATATCTTGTAAAGGCCTTGGCTCTGAGGAAATTGATAAGCTGTACAAGATGTCTGTGAAGATTGCTAATAGAGTGTTCGAAACCATTGCATATGAAGCAGAAATCAGAATCACGCTGAAGCACGATGCTTTGTCCCTTTACCTAAGCAGCATTGCACATGTGCTGCTAAACAGCCATTTGAGGGGCCCATCTGAGCAGAAAGTACTTTCGTTTATCTTTTTTGGCCCGAAGAGTTTTCACCATTAGTAGCCTTTGCTGTTCCCAAAAGATGCTTTCAAAATAGGAATTCTTTAACGACATCAGCACACATACAACTAATGAAAGCCAGGAACTGGCTGTGCTAGAAAAAAGGCAGTCATTTATCTAGTTGCAGACTAAAAGGAAATAACATTGCCACCAATTCCACTTTCAGTGGCCCCTCTTAAAATATTGGAAAACGCGTAGGTGATGGTGGAGTCGATGGAACTATTCAACAAGGACTCCTTCCCTTTCTCCCTCTGTACTAATCTGCAGACCAGCTTAGCCAGGCCAGGGAAGGTGGTTTCTTCGTCTCTCTGGTAGTAAATATATTTTCTTCCCTCTTTGCAGTGTGATAAGCAGCCTCATGGCTGCTTCAAAAACAAGGCTGTTTGGAAGCAGCTATGTTTTAGTTAGGCAGCCTACTCATAATTAAGATCCTGTTTGTCTGAAATAGTTGTTGTTTGGAATGTTGTAAGGCACTCCTTGAATTGTGTTACATAAGCATCTGTTGGCACCTACATTGTGTGGCTTTCGTTAATCATGGCAATTATAGAAGTAAAAACAAAAGATTTGTGGGCTTCATCGTACTTTTTTCCCTGACATTTTCTGATGGATGAAAATAATTATATTGGCAGGATATATTGTCTTTGGCTCATATTATTGGAAAACTTCTGGATATTATTACCTGGCAAGGATGATGACAGTTTATTATTTGACCATATAGCAAGCATATAATGTGGCAATAAGGATGATTTATTATTTGACCCACATATGTTAGCATCCTGTGCTACCTCACTTATTTGGAGTGAAATACAACGTTAAAATAACAAACAGAAAAGAAATAAAAAATATTTACAAACTCACAGAGCACATCAGTGGAACTTCCTAGTGATAAGAAGTTTCAAAGTCATTTACTTTAAGTTTGGTTTAAGGAATAAGGACATTTTGCATAGATGAGATGGCATGATCATGTTTTTAAATATTTAAAAAATTATCTCATAGGAGAGGGTAATAATTTTTTTATAAATCCAAAGAATATAGAAGGACACATGATGAATAGTATTAAAAAGGTCTGTTTCCGTTCAGTCTAAGAAACATTTTCCAATATTTAGATTCCCCTGCCAATAAAATGGACTACCTTACGAAATCTCCTCTTAAAAGCAGTAGTCCTGTGTCCATTCCACCATTTTGACACCTAATTCGCTTTGTGACTTCCGTTTAATGTCTGGCTCCTTATTTGTTTGCCAGTGAGGCCATTCACTTCTGGGAGTCAGTGTGGGCTCCAGAGTTGGGCCAGACGGGCAAGCGTGACCTTGGGCAAGTGACTCAACTCTTCTCCACTTCTGTTTCGTTGTCTGTAAAATGGAGATACCCCTCCTCACTTCTTATGGGGACGTTATAGGAATCGAACGAGTTAACATCTCTAAAGTTCTTGACAAGTACTAGACATTAGGTGCTAACTCCCTTCTGTCTGCTGCATGGTCAAACCTGTGCTGAAGGCAAATGTGAGTGCTAGGAAGATGCTGAATAGCATCTTTTTTCAGTGGTAAAGAACGATTTTCTATGTTGGAAAGGACAGATGGATAACAGTTAATTGATTAGGTTCTAAAAGTTTTCTCTTTTGGTTCACTTCTGCCTTACTAAAATTCCAATCTATAATTCTTTTATTTACAATAATACAGACATTATTTACAAAGACACAAACATTTGTGAACTTTTTCTCAATTCCAGAATGTGTTCAGTATGTTTATGGTGCTGATTTTGTTAAAACTCAGAGCATCGATTTCTAGTATTCATGAAGAATCATTTTTTTATTCATTTATGGTTAAGAATGCGGTCTCTGGCATCACACTACTTGCCTTTGAATCAGTTCTGCCAGTTCTTAGCCCAGTCTTTTGGCCAGTTCCGTAGGTGTGCTGAACCCATTTCCTCATCTGTAAAATGTAATTACTAAAAGTACCACCATTGACTCTTCTGAGGATTAAGTGAATCGATATGTGGAATATGTTTAGCACAGAGCCTGGCACAGCAAGTCCTTAATAAGTGCTGGTTTTCCTCTTTCCCAGGAGTATTATAGTCATTCACTGATCCATTGTATATCATGTGTCTGTTCTAATTCACTTCCCAAAGTACTGAACTGAGTAACCTACAGAGTACAAGAACTTTTCCTTTAAATCTCTCTTATTCTTGTGGGTGGATTAGAACAGAATTATGTGCTAAATCCTGGAGAGGTGTGGGCAGAGTATATGGAAGCACTGGTCTGGATCACAACTCAGACTTTACCCAGAATGGTCTGATTAAAGGGTGTTAACCTCAAAAGTGGGACTGGGCTTACCAATCCCAGGACTCATTTGCATTTTTAAAAGGAAAGAGAACTTATTATACCTTGTAGGGGTGAATTGGGCACCTGTGCCTTCCCTCTCCCAGGATTTTTGCCTGTCCTTCCTCCTCCCTCTTCCTCCCACCTCTTCCTGCCCTCCCCCAGCCCCTTTCTCTAGGGAATTAAATGCAGATACCTGCACCACACATAGGAATTGTCCAACTGAGCCTTTACACTGGGAAACTGCGGCGAGATTGACCTACTAAGCCATGAATTACAACCCAGAGATGTAAAGAAGTTTCTGTCAGATTGCTTGCAATTTAAGATCTTTTAATGGTTTTTTTTTTAATCTAAAGATTTCTTTTGTTTATATAAAATATCAGCTTACTTAAAATATCAGTTTATCTAAAATATTGCTTTAGATTTTTAAAATAAATATAGAGGGGTACTTGATTCAAATACGTGTATGAGATTCTTAAGAACTGTTTTCATTTGTTTATATCAAGAGCAAAACCTAGAGGTTTTATCTGATGTCTAAAATGTCCTAGTTATTCCAGAATTGGATTGTGGTTAATTGACCATAATAACAGCTAGTTTCCTACAGCTAAAAATATTGAGGAGAGAATAGCAGTAAAAGAGCAAAAGCATAACTTTGGCAGCAGTGGTTAGATATGCAGATCCTGGGGGTTAGACCTAGAAATATGTTTGGCATGAAATTGAAGAAATCTATCAAAGAGCAATTCGAAACAGCATTAAGGCTACTTTTTCATTCAGAGAGTGTTTTCTTTTTGTGCATAGTAACTTCCAGCCGCCAGTAAATTACCGTTCTGCCCGTAGAGCATTGTCATTCTTTTCATTCTTTTTTCATTTTCAGCTTATGGAAAAGTATTTCTAGTTCGTAAAATAAGTGGTCACGATACCGGAAAGCTGTATGCCATGAAGGTTTTGAAAAAGGCAACAATAGTTCAGAAGGCCAAAACCACAGAGCACACGAAGACGGAGCGACAGGTCCTGGAGCACATCAGGCAGTCGCCGTTTCTGGTGACGTTGCACTATGCCTTCCAGACAGAAACCAAACTTCATCTCATTTTAGGTAAGTGTCAGTTTTCGTCAGACTTTTTATGGGAACTTTTTCTGGGGGGTGGCGGGAGAGCCTTGAGTTGTAATGTACTCAAAGAATAACATACTTTGAACTTTGAAGAAATGACTACTTTGACTTTCATTTTTCTATCTGTGGTGGCGTTTCCTTGAACATCATGAATTGCTCTGGATTTGGGACTTCCCAACCTGAGGGAATTTATCTACTTCTGTTCCACGCTCCATTATTAAGCTTAAGAAACACTCGAGCCATCTGCTTCCCTGGGCAGCGTGCTTCCTTCAAATGTGAGAAGCTGAGTAGTGACGTGGGCACAATATCGGCGTTAGGAGTTCTTGGGAATGTGCAGGTTTGGGCTGACAAGGGAATATTTATGGAAATCGGTAATTGGGAAAAATAAAAAAGAAATTAAAAATTTCTATTTTTAGAGATGCTTTGCTTTCCTGGTGAAGAAACTGCATCGTAGAGATACCTACCAGTCAGTCGACCCTTTGATCACTCCCATTTGTACCCACGGCACTTTTTGAATTTTTTCCTTTCCTAAATTGACTTGGACTATGGCATATGAACTTCGGAAATGTCCCCTGTGCATATCTCCAGACTGCTTTGTAGAAAAGTTGCGCTATTTCCTGTTCTACTAGAAGTAAATGGCAAGACTTCCAGTGTCGCGCTGTGCCGTCATGGAGCATTTCATCTGTTACAGTTTTAGTCCCATTCTTGTGATAATTTGCATTTAAGTATTATGATTCCCTGTCATCAAACTCTTCTGAGGATTAGATGAGATAGAATTTCACATAGTGCTCCGTAAGCATTAGTTATTTCTTGAGTGCCTACGGGATGCCCGTGCTACGCTGGGTATTATCCACAGTACTACTGACCCCACAACAGTGCTGCCAAAACCCCCTCATTAGTGCCGCTGAAGGTTCTGGAAGCTGCATTTCCTGATGTTACCCGTGTTGTATAAGCTTGAGAATGAAGATTGGACCTCAGGTCTGACTCATATCAAAGTTTGCCAAACAAAACTGCTTGTATTCTTTCGTTAGTACTAGTACAAACAGGCTTTTAAATATATATTTGGCAATTTAATGGAATGTTCTCATTTTAGAAATTATACTTTTATCAGCGATTGCCTAAAACTGCATTTACTTTTTGAGTCGAGTTCCACGTCCAGCTCATTTGCAGTGTTCGCCATCTCACCTAACGATCCTGAATCTTTTGTCACATGAGCCACGATCTCGCCTGCCCTATCAGAGCCCCCGCTAGCGTCAGCCCTTCCTGTCGTTCCAGCAGGTCAATGTCGTTTGGCTCATCATTCTGCCTCCTGCGTATATCTGCTCAGCTATGTTGTTAACTGATTTTTAAATACGTGTTTCTTCAGAATATTTACCCAGTGGGTTGTAGGGGACAGAACATTTTAATACACTGGTGTCTAACATTTTTAGTAGCAGAATCCTGCCCTCAAATGAAAACAAAAACATTCATAGAACTGAGTAGCTCTGAGTTTAAGGGCACCAAGTCCTACCAGTTTATTTCTGTGCCTCACCGTACCAGAATTTCCAACAAAGCCTTAAGGAGGCCATGGAGCCTGGTTGAGAAATGATGATCTTGTTTAAGCTGCTTCCTTTGCAGTAAACCAGCTCATAAAAGTTAAATCGTGTGCCCAAATCGTACAGCTAGAGCGAGCCAAAAGCCTAAGAACCCAAATGCCGGGACTCTGCACCTCCACATCACAACTTCTCTCTCTCTGTCTTTTCTGTTCTCTCACACCTTAACTGTACTCGGTCTTTTTTTAATTGTTTCTTGTAAGTAGTGTGGTTTTTGTAAATAATGTTTTCATTTAAAAGTAGATGACTGAAATATTTTGTATTTGATTAGGAAAAAATAGTTCTTGATAATGTTGGTCTTTAGTTGTTGGTTCTCCATTATTTTTGTTCTTCGTCAGTGGCCCATAAATAAATACAAAGTAAAACAAGAAAACCCATTTCTTGTATCAGCTTAAGAGTAGAATGCGGCCTGGACGACATGTTTGTTCCATCATAAGTGAGGCGGTACGTTTAGAAAGCGTGCCCCCCACCTCCTCACCGCATAGATAGGTTTGATATAATTTTTCTTTGCACATGTTTATAGCTGCTGTTTGACTTTAAAGGTAAAACTTTTCAGAAATCTGGAACAGGACTTTATTAAAAACTTCATATGGTTCAGTTTTTTTGTTTGCAAGTGAGTACAATATACACTAAGTCAGTTTTCCAATTACTGAGCTGTATACTTAGGCCCTGCCTTGGTCTGCTCGGGCTCCCATCACGAATGGTCACAGACTGGGTGGCTTTTCCTTTTCTCACAGTCCTGGCACCTGGAAGTCCAAGATCAAGGTGCTGGCAGGGTTGGCTTTTTCTGAGGGGCATAAGCAAAGAATCCGATCCAGGCTTTTCTCCTTGGCTCGCAGACGCCACCCTCTTGCCGCCTTTGCACATGGCCGCTCCCCTGTGCATTCGCAGCCCTGGTGCTGCTTTTGTTGAAATTTCCTCTTCTTGTAAGAACACGGATCATCGTATCAGGTCAAATTAGGGCCCACCCTCATGGCCTCATTTTAAGAACCTAATCACCTCTTTAAAGGCTCTGTCTCCAAATAAAGTCACATTCTGAGGTGCTCACGGTTAGGGCTTCAGTATATGAATTTGAGAGGGACACAGTTCAGCCCATAACTGTCTCTAAAGGTTTATCGATTAGCCAACTTTATTGAATTTTTTTTTGTACTATTAGAGATTAATAGCAAGAATTTACATGTCGAGCTCATCAGGGACTCAGCTGAATTTTTGTCTGATGAATACTATAGACCTTTTTAAAAAATTTTTTTAAACTTTTGTTACTGCAAAAGCATATATATGCATCTAGAAGATATAGAAAAACAAAAATAAGGAAAGAAAAATCTATTTTCACTACTTAGAGTTTACCTCATTATATATCCCTTTTATTACTTAGTATATATCCTTCCAGATCTTTTTGTCTATGTGTCTGCATGCGTGTATGTATGTTTTATCAAAATGAGGTTGTGCTGTACATACAATTTGTGACCAAATTTTTTTTTTTCAGTTAATGGTCTACCTTTGTTGGTTAATAAATTTTCATTTTATTTAATACCTAGTGGTACAAGTTATTTATTTCTGGATAACAAACCACTTTAAAATTTAGTTGCTTAAACAATGACTTATTTTCTCATGATTCTGTGGGTTGGCTGGCAGATCTCTGCCAGTTTGGCCTGGGTTCAATGTATAGCGTGGCAGTATCAGAGCAGCTCATGGCTGCCAGCGGGGCAGGGGCAGAGGCTGCGCATCCCCTGAGACAGCCTCACCGCTAACACAGGACCCACCCAGGGTTAATGGGTAGGGAATAGACTTCATTTCTTTTTTTCTAAGATTTTTTTAAATTGAGGTATAATGGACACACAACATTATATTAGTTTCAGGTGTATAACATAATGATTCGATAGTTTTATATACTGAAAAACGATCACCACAATAGGTCTAGTTAATCTCTGTCGCCGTACACAGTTACAGAATTTTATTGCTGCCGTTGTGATGAGAACTTTGAGGATTTCCTCTCAGCAATTTTCAAATACACCGTACAGTATTACTAACTATAGTCATCATGACGTACATGATATCCCCATGATTTATTTATTTCATAACTAGTTTGTACCTTTTGACCCCCTTTACGCATTTACCCCACCTGTGGTGGCAACCAGCAAGCCGTTCTCTATATCTATGAGCTTAGGGTTTTTTGATTTTTTTTTTTAAGACTCCACATATAAGTGAAATCATATGGTATTTGTATTTTCTCTGTCTGACTTATCTCACTTAGCATGATGCCCTTCAGGTCCATCCACGTTGTTGCAAATGGCAAGATTTCATTCTTTTTTTAGGGCTGAATAATATCCCATTGTACATACGCAGCATGTTTTCTTTATTCATTTATCAGTGGACGCTTAAGTTGCTTTTCAGCCTTCCCACGGCACGGCATTGGTGTGTATGGGATTTCTTTGTCTCTAAGTTTTGCTGAAAGTGGAGATCAGTGGCGGTTTACACCCATTCTTGCTGTTTTCTAAGATGTTTGGGAGCAGATGCGGATGCGGAGATTCAGTTCCAGGTTGCTGTTACCTTCCAGGGTTTTATGGCTCACTGGAAATTTCTTGACCAGACTTGTTCCTTGAGGATAAAATTTGCCTGATTACAACAGGCTTCTCCAAATGATAAGATTATTATCATGTTAGTATTGTCTTGACAGATACTTACCTTTGACATTTGCCAGATATGGAATATAGCATTTCTGTCAGAACTGAGTATGTATAATTGTTTTTTATAATATGCTTTGTTTAGTTGTCATTGCCTTCCATTCATTTATATGGTCTCTAAATCAAGGGTCAGTAGCAGTGGATTAGATTTGGCCTCTGGGCTGTAATTCATTGACCCCTCCCGTAAACTCATCTGTTATAAATCACATTTTTAAAACATTCTACATCATTAATATCTTTTTAGGCTCTGATTTAATTTATACCTGATGGCATCATATGGATTTGATGCATTTTCTCCTTTATATATTTTTTTAGCCATTCCAGATCTTATAACATGGAGATCATACCTCCTTTTATAACTTTTTCTGTACCTCTGCCTGGTTACAACAAGAAATATAAAAATATTTTCATCTATTCTCTTAAAAATTGTATTCATTTCAAGTAACAGTGGGAAGGAATTCTATGCGGAAAATAATCTGTAAACAAGTTTTTTTTTGGTATTTGCTGATCTTGATAGTGGTAATTTTGTCAAAACACCAGCTGATCTATGACTGTTTAAACTGTCAGATTAATCAGTAGAATTTATAAGACACTAAAGAAGCTAAGCACAAAGGTATTTATAAAGGTGATGCTAAGTAACATTCTCAGTAATGAATGCCACCCCAGCCTCATAGACAGTTCTGTCATCATGAGTCATCCTGTTAGTATG